TTAGTCTGACCCGTCACCCAGGACCTGTTTGCCTTGGGAGACCCTACCAGGGACATATAGCCCCCGACAACATAGCTCCTAGGATCACTCGGGTACTCAAACCCCTCCACCACAATAAGGTGGCAGTTCAAGGAGGGGGCAATCAAATAATGATGGTCAAACTGTCGTTGGGATATTGCTTTTAGATGTAATAGGATTATGGGAAAACTGAGCTGCCTTGGCAGAGGTTTGCACTCTCTGAGCGCTGTTTAGTTCTGTATCGTCTTGTTTCAAATCAGCCAACATACATCAGTAATAAGTTAATATGGGCCTGTAATTTTGTCTGGTTCTAATTTACAAGCTCCTTGTACTATATCTGCATGTGTTCATTATTTACTGTTATTATTGTCTGTTTTTGCACTTTTGTTGACTTTATTTAGCTTTACTAAATATTTGCACTGTAAGCAATGTGCTTTTGCCTTTTGTTTGTTTTTGTTTATTTGGTCCCTTGGGTTTCCGAATGTCAAGTGAGATTATCTAAGGGGAATTTCTGAGCTAACAGAAGTTTTTCTTTTAAAGAGCTATTGAAACTGTGCAGAGGCTTCATGCATTGTGGTATCTGTATAATGCTTGATATCAGGATGTTTGCCATTTGATAAGTAAGTAAGTAAGTAAGTAAATTTTATTTATATAGCACCTTTCACAGACAAGGTCACAAAGTGCTTTACAAAGTCAAAAGATAAAAAGAGATAAATAAAATACATAAGCCTAAAAAGTAAGACAAAAAAATCCTTCAGTAAATTAAAGTTTAGAAAACTAAGTTGATTCTAAAGACAATTCTTGATTTCAGGCGAGACTTTGGTACTGCCAGCTGGGATGTGCTGAAGGACCCAGTTTGCATTCAGGCTCAGTATAACTGTCTGTGATAGAGAAACAAACACTCTGTTATTTGTGAAATTACAAAATATTCTTTTATTATTTCTGACACAACCGTTTCTGACATAACTGTCTGTTACAGGCATAACAGTCAGGCTGTATATTTACAATATGTGTAATGTGCTCAGTTAGGGTGTCCAGTCAACAGCAAATGGTGAGGTGGGTCTGTATGCACAACCCCTGAAAGGCACGGTCTTGTGTATCAGTTTGACAAAGCACCTACAATGCTTTAACATCTTACATTCAAAATGAGTATTTCCAGTCTCCCATGTGCTTTTATTATCTCTCTTCACTGAGACTGTCAGTTTAGATGAATTAAATAGTTTCAGTGAAATACTTCCTTCTATAAAAGGTCACAAAGTGAGAAGCAATGCAAAACTCTTTTTGGTGTCAATTGGCTTTCATGATCTCAGTTTCAGAGCTGAATTACTCAAAAGCAGTGGATTTTCTGTTGTGGAGGCTTTCTTCAGAATGCTTATACATCCGTTGAAGCTTGTAAACCTGTAGAAAATCAGTAATAACAATGTTAATTTAAAAAAACTATTTCACTTTTAAAGACTTAAAAGGAACATGGAAAACAGTTCAGTTCCACATTCAATGAATTCTGTAATGTTGTTTGTCTAGTTGTTATATGTTCATTGTGAATGGTTACCATCCATCTTTACCATCCATTTCAGTAGATTATCTTCCATAATTTATCACCCTGTCACCCTGTGCAAGTGCAAACTTCGAGCACTGAGTAAAGGTAGGGGTCAAGCAAAGGTCTTCATGCTTGATATCATACAAGCTGGTGTCAAATGTATCCTGTTCATAGACACTGCCTCTTCACTGGATGTGCTGCAAACCATATAAATGATGTGGAAGCACACTCAGAGTTCCTATCATATTTGCATAACACGGCATGGTGACATTCTCTTCGACCCATCTTTGTGTGTGTTCCCATTTTGTCACAGTGACAGTGTTTTCAAGCATGTCAGTTATGATTGGCACTGCTTGGCTCTTTAATTTCCTTCCACAATTTTCTACCTCAGATATTTAATTTCAGATGAGAAATAATGATACAAAATGAACCCTACCCATAACCCTATAACTCCTAACCCTAACCCTGAAACATCCCCATTGATCATTTATTGATTTAGTTGGTTATTGTAATCCTAACAATAAGATATAACTTGCATGTTTAATAACATGCAAGTATAATAACTTGAACCACTGAACCAATGAACCACGAGGCACACATTAAAAGTTCATGAGCCAGCAGTGCTGGCGGCGGCAGCAGCAGCACCAGCACTCATTTCCTTCAGGAAATGCAAATTAGTCTAGGCTGATTCTTATGTTTTGTTTTCTTGACTGGAGAAGTGAGATTTTTAAAAGAGATGGAAATATTGCATGTGACTGTATAACTAACTAGATATGAGAGCATTAGGTTTCCAGTTATTTGGAATAGTTAATTTATTTTATGCGGGGGAAGGCAAGAAGAAATGTGATGATTTTGTGATGATTATGATTATTTTGGTGTCATGACACTTCTTGATGAAATGATCAGATGAAAGAAAACTTGAAAATTGCACACCATTGATCTGAATGCACAAGGAAGGTTAAATTATTGCTTTTCTGGAGTTTGTGGGTCAATCAAACAACTCAGCACATACTTATAAACTGTGAAATATTATTCTGTTACTGTCTTATGAACAAAAGTGCAAACAATGTTTTAATTTGTTTATCCTCTGGTTCACAAGAGCACACACTGACAGTACTTAGGAATAATTTTACCACAAGTGTCCCAGTGATGCTATAACAATGTCAAATAGCAACATATTCAGGACATGACCTATTAAAAAAGAAAGGTTACAGTAATGCAAGTATAAGTTGTCTTCTGCATTATCGTCTGCTGTCACTGAATTCATTTCTAATTTTATATGATGAATGAATCAGGCTGATTTCTGAACAGCACTTGAGAAGACTGCACCTGGCCATAAACCTTTTTATGCTCCAGTAACTTAACAGCATCCATCATCTCATTGTTAAAATATCAAAATGGAAAAATTATTCATGATCTATTTTAGTTGGGATACTACTACTGATTATTTCCATGATAATTTTATATAAAGTTTTCTTTGTCTCTAATGGTTTAATCCATAAACTGTTAGAAAATAGTGAAAAGTACACTGACATTTTGTTAGATGTCTGTAGGGTAAATATGAAGCTCCTGTGAGCAGCACATGCATCCTTGCTTATGCCACTTTCACAGACTTAGATTCATTTCCATGAGACTTACTCTAACCCTTATCCAGAACCGCTACTTGCCTAACCTTAACCCTTATACCTAACCTTAATCAAAGTTGACACTTGTTCTAACGTTACACCCTGCCATCTTTGTAAAATTCGACGAATTAGTCATGAGGCCCAACATCCGGTCCCCGCAAAGCAGTGTACGCCCAGTGTTCCATCCCCACAAGTATATATAAACAAGGCCACACACACCCCTATCTCTTACACTCTATTTTGTAATTGGATAACTATATAACGCCAGCCGTTACTGTCACACACAAACACAAAGGATCACACACAGTCACGGGGAAGGGTGTGTATGTTTGCGCAGACTGCCACGATGCTTCTTATCCGCTGTCAGCTCTTCCCAACTCACTCACAGCTCTATTCTTACAACTGAATACTATCCTCTTGCTATTGAATCAGACTGACCTCACTGACAGTCTCGTCGTCCTCCCCTTCGACGCCGCGCAGACCTTATGAGTGTCAACGAAACTGACCAATAGTATGTGGAGTCCCCCACTCCTTACGTATCTGACTAGCCAATCAAAACCCGGGTAAGCGGAATCACCGTGGGCATGACTGTCAAGTTTGGTTGCAAAGGTAAGCTCTGAGTGTGATTTTTGTGTTTTCTTTTTACATATTACTTATTTTTCACCTTATAATTTATAGCATAGTGTTGTATGAGCTTGTGTATTATTGTGTCTATTGAAATAAATAATGCTCGCCAGATTACGACCGCCCATTTATGCTAGCTTAGCTAAGTGTACAGCACTGCAAAGTACCTTAACCTAAGCAGTGAGAACAACGGTCATATCCCTCTGTAACAACTGCTTATTGATTCTGATTAATGGCCGTATTGTCACGCAAATAACAGCCTTTCCGATGCATACTGAACACTGTCTAAGCATCCTCACTGCTATGAAGCGCCTTTGTCGGTTGCTACTATATTGTTGCTTTTACACAGTTCCAAGTTTGCTCTGTTACAATGTAGCTTATGTGTAAAAACACATTTGTTTCATTTTTATCGAAACTGCCTATAGCTTCCTGTGAGACGTTTGTTTACATCTGTTTTACCGTTCACAGTATAATGGCTTCAATGAATGCGCCTGCACTCTGCATACTAACAAGGGCTGCACAGGGAAACACGTGTTAAGGCGAACATTTGTGGAACTTAACGCAAAGGACAGTGTGATTAACACATTTATTGTTGTGTACATAATGTTATGGCGATTTCAGAAGTCCTTCTTTCGCCGTGTGAACTGACTTACAGCTGAGCAGAGGAGACACCAGGACAGATACCACACCTCTTCTTCAAGCAGCCTCCTCGACTGTGGGACACTATCGGGAACTATTACTACTATTTTTCTCTTTTTTCTTTAAACGGAATGGATTTTGAAAAGACCTAACCTGGATGGTTTGCTGTGTACGTGCTGTTAAAAGCGTGCTGGTGGCCCTTTCCAACTTTTGAGGAGGTCACAAAGTCTTTCTGGATTGGAACAAATTTATTAAGTCAAAATGGATCAAGCCAGTGGTGGGGAGGACCCGAATAAATCCTCTAGAAAGAAGTCAAGCGAGGATGAGGGTAAAAACAAAAAGCTGGTAGGTATACAAACTGAAACTTTGCTGTTGCATGGAAGTACTGTGTAGTGAACTTTCACATCCTGTAATCCCACAAGCAAGGGTTAATTTCATTCAGTTTTGGAGAGATTGAGAAAGTTGCTCTATTCCACAGTTGCAGAAATGTTCTTTCCATTTTTACTATAAGTAAAAATTGCTTTATTAGACCTATTGCACTGAAGATGTAGCATTTATATAGTTACTGGTCTGTATAAACCTCATGGTGAAGTTAAATAAAGCCTGGTCGAAGCATAATAGTTAGTATGCAGCATACTGTCAATACAGAGCATCTCTGTTCAGTGCAGGATGAGGCCTACATAGTTATTGATGTGTTATTATTATTTAATGTAGCCAAATTCAGAGAAGTTAATAATACAGTAGCTATTAGGATTGCGGAAAAGGAGATAGTGTTTCACTGAGTGCCTTGCTTTACAAAGCACTCAGTGCATCATGTGATTATCTGTGTCAATACAGCTAGAAAGAACATTTTTGTTGTGACATTTGGGCTTCAGTATGCATTTTCAATACATGCATAAAGACAAAGTTCAGTTCCTGGGTGACTCGTAACATAGTGTGGTGTCCACGTAGTTTGTGGTGCATCTATGAATTCTTGTCCTTAGTCAGCCTGAACAGCCTTATGGCCACAAGAAATGGGAGTCACTGGAGGTCAGGGTCTGTTAGATAACAACTGAAAACTACATCAGCATTCATTCCATTTATAGCCTTTCTACTGTATGTCTTGGCTTAGTGGAATTGTTTATGTAGGGAGAGGAGTGTGCATATTTAGAAAGTTGGCAACCATGAGTCTTCAGTATTAGAGCTCTGGTGTCGTTAGGCTATTCCTTCATGCCACCATTGCCTGGAAATGAAATCACAAGATTTAGGGGTGTACGGTGGTGGTAGTGGGTATGTATGATGTCTGGAGCAATCACTGCACTGGACAGATTTTTTTGAACTACTGCAGTAATTGTGGAAACAGTGTCTTACAAGTGTACACAAACTATGGTTTAGTGTCTTAGCTGTAAACTGTAGCCACAGTGTTGTATTCAGTGTCTTGAGTGGAATCCACAGCTGTAAATCTAAACCATATTACTGAGTGTATTAAGTGCATGGTATTGTGTACACACTGTCAGCAGCTTTATAAACCACTGGTTAAAAGTGGTTTTCCATGACAACAGACAAAATTTGTGCTGCTGCTGTTTTCTGTGTCTCCACTTTTGTCAAAATGGACAACTTGGCTAGTGTTAAACTTTCTGGATGACGCCGCCTATCAGTCAGATATTAGTAGTCTTGTCTTATATTATACTTACACTCACCGGCCAATTTATTAGGTACACCTGTACAATTGTATGCACACCTCCATCTCAATATCTGTGTTTATGAAGCTCAGAATGTTTTGGTTTTTGGCGAAATGATCATAAATGTATACATTCAATATGTTCCTAATATTCTGACCCTCTCATGTAGACACCTCTAAATATAATGTAGTTGAGTACATCACCACCTTTAACTATAGTCTCAATAATAAACATATAAATGAATTTATACATTTATGACAATTTCACCAAACAAACATTTTGAGCTTCATAAATACATATTAAGGTGGAAATGTTGCACTGAAGTGCATACAAAAGTACAGGTGTACCTAATAAAGTGGCCGGTGAGTGTACATTGTGCCTTTCATTGAACTGGGATTGTTTGTTAACTGGTCAGATTGGTCAGATTGGTCAGTTGCAGCCACAAACAAGGAGATGGAAAAATTCTCCATTTAGGTTGATTAGTGTTTTCTTCATGAAAACAGTCTTAATATTGTAATCACTAATTGTTTACAATAAAGCTAAGGCAAGGGAGAGTGTTTGCATAATAACCGTTAGACAAGTAATTCTGGATTACACTGAAATGACATGCACTCCCAGAGCTACTTAGTGGGTGTTGTTTTGAGAAATCTGCAACAGTCTGCAACTCTCGAACCCTTCCAGGTTTTTACCTGTTAGAAGGATATCTGGATGACACCGGCACTTAAATCAAAAGTGTCTGTAAGAGTGCTGTTTGTTTATAGTGGTCTTAGGGCTCAGCATGTCCTCTGTTGCTCTGTCCTCCACACAGAACAGTCAGAGGCAAAGGAAGCCTGAGCTGCAGCTGTTGCAAAAACCTCAACACAGCTCTCAGTTTAAGGGAGGAAGTAATTATTCATCAGGGTGGAACCATGATCTGCTCACTTTTGTACAGTTTATGTTTCCAGATTTTTTTTTTTTTTTGAAATGGGGGTGAGGGGTTATATTCCTTACATGCAGTGTAGTTTGTGTGGATGTGGTCCAGACACAAGGGTGTGGTAATATCTGTCACCAGCAGGTTTAAAGTAAAGCTATCACTGTCTTTTCACACTCGGAGCTGTTGAAAAGTGCAGTACCATTTGCAAAGTGGAAGACACTGGTACACTTTGCTCCCAGCAAAGCTGAATGTTTGTTTACCAAGGCACTAGGCAGGATTATGTCACAGCGACACCATTTAGGCTCTTGGCCCAGGATGTAGATACTCAGCACAGCCAAGGACATTAGGATGACATCACCGTGTTCAGAGACTGAGAAAATTCAATACTTTTTGTTGTTTGGATCCTTTTCATGATGTTGTAAAAACATGACATCCTATAAAGCAGGCAGATGGAATGAGGTCTTTTTAAAGGAATTCAGGGGACAGAAAGGGGGAAATATTACCCCTCTGCATACCAAGTAAAATACAACAGCATGAGGGAAAAGTCATCCCAAGGCATTCATAAATAACTATATGACTTCTCATTACTGGCTGTGTAGGGAGTAGCTTATTTTCAACCTACAGTCTGAATGTAGACAGATATTTATTAGGTGCCTCTGTATATAAGGAATTCTTATTTATTTATCTATTCACTGGGGCATTTTTTTGCCTTTATTATGCAGTGGGTCACAGAGAGTTGGACAGGAAACAGGAGACAGAGATTGAGAGGTGGGGTGGGGGCGACCTGTGGCAAACAGTTGGTGATTGGAGTCTAAATACTTGGCAATCGGGGCACCATTATATAAGGCTTTTTCTTATTACTTGAATAAAATGCACTGTTGAAGACTATTTTTTTAGCTCATATACTGACAGTGTTTTGTCAGCCATGATTTCAAACTAAAAGTTACAGTAACTTCCTCTTCACAAGAAAACAACCCTAGTTGCTAACATGTTTTGGCAAGTTAATTTACAATGAAATATGAAAAAAATATTTTCAAATGTCTGTGTATCATGACAGTAGTTAATCATTTTAGGAATTAACACACTTTGAGTTTAGAATATGTATGTGTAATAAAGATTTAGGACCTTGTGACCTGCAGTCTTGTGACATGAATTGTTTGCTGATAAAACCAACCTGATGGCCCACAGACCTTTGTCATGTGGGATCATGTTTGCTTATTAGAAGTTGTATACAAGGGTTAAGGGTGATCAGCATTTAAAAGGTTGTGTATGAGTGAGAGAGGGACAAACATGTCAGTGATTTTGTTTACAGCATCAGTGGTGGTGAGATGAGTGTCTACTCTTCAGTCTAATGCTTTTGAATATAATTTTACAAATACGGTACTGTATACTGCAGATGGTTGGGACTGTTGGCCAGCCCCTTTGTTTTTCTTTTTTTAAGTTTTAAAGCAAATGTCTGTCAAAATTAACAACTGTGTCTAATGTGTAGATATTTGCTACTTTGCTGGCTTGAATATTAAGATGAAGCGAGAGTATGTAGCAGTTTAGTACAGCTGAAGCGAGAAGTTTACATACAGCCAAATACATGTAAACTCAGTTTTTCACAACTCCTGACATTTAATTTCACAAACCTTCTGTCTTAGGCCAGTTAGGATCACTACTTTATTTTAAGAATGTGAATAATAGTAGAGAAAATTTCAGCTTTTGTTTCTTTCATCACATTCCCACTGGCTCAGAGGTTTACATACACTCGCTTAGTATTTGGTAGCATTGCCTTGAAATTGCTTAGTCAAACGTTTCAGGATGCCTTCCTCAAGCTTCTTGCGGTATGTTGCTGGAATTTTAGCCCATTCCTCCTGACAGAACTGGTGGAACTGAGTCAGGTGTGTAGGCCTCCTTGCTCACACACACCTTTTCAGTTCTGGCAATAAATTTTCTATTGGACTGAGGTCAGGGCTTTGTGATGGCCACTCGACCTTGACTTTGTTGTCCTTAAGCCATTTTACCACAACTTTGGAAGTCTGCTTGGGGTCATTGTCAGTATATCCAGGTAATCTTCCTTCCTCATCATCATGGCGGTCTTGGAGCAGTGGCTTCCTCCTTGCTGAGGAGTCTTTCAGGTTATGTCGATACAGGACTCGTTTTACTGTGGATGTAGATACCTTGGTACGTGTTTTCTCCAGTGTCTTCACAAGGTCCTTTGCTATTGTTCTGGGATTGATTTGTACTGTTTGGACCAAAGTATGTTTGTCTCTAAGAGACAGGACGCATCTCCTTCCTGGGTAGTGTGATGGCTGCATTGTCCCACGGTGTTTATACTTGCGTAGTATTGTTTGTACAAATGAACATGGTACCTTCAGGCATTTGGAAATTGCTCCCAAGGATGAACTTGACTTGTGGTGGTCCATAAACAAACCTGCTAAAATGAGAGTTTGTTAAGATGACATCTGTGTAGTGGTTAAAGAATCAGTTTTAATGACTTCAACCTATGTGTTTGTAAACCTCTGACTTCAGCTGTACCTGTTCTGGCTAGTATTAAGTCACATGCACCACTATAATTAAAAACATGAAGTCATAGTAACACATTTAACGGTAGTAAGGCTTGACAGTCATGTGGGTCGTGTGATTACTGAGTGGACAAACTGGCCCAACAAGCCAGACAGTGTAGATGGCTGTTTTTAAATTCCAAAAACCTGGGAAAAAAAGACAGGGGAATGACAGTGATGTCTCCACACAACAGAAACATGTATATTTAATGTAAAATGGAAATG